TAATGTTTTTAATATTCTTCATATTCTGTGTGGTGGTCAGTTCATACTGATAGAAATTAATCTTTTCCAATAAGTTTAAACTGATTTTTGCATTTTATGGGCATTTTTACCTTTATAAAGCCATTTTTTCTAAAAGTGTCCATTATCTTTTGAGTCAAATTCTTACATTTAATCAGGGAATTAGAATAATAAGACATTTGGGCTGTTACCAAGCAAATTAAATCAACACAGAAGCTGCATCTGAAGTGGCATTTAGATATATTTACACACTGTTTAATGCAAGACATGAATGCATTTAACCTGCAATTGCAAATGCGTAAATCATGTTTTGATATATTAAACATAAAACGTTGAATACTGATATTTGAAATGATTTAAAACATGAAAAAAATCAAAAAAAGAAAAAGCCGAAATGTGAAATTAAAACCGCCAGCAGGTGGCAGCAAATCACTGTTAATAAGTGAGTCATTGGGATTGAACCGAATCATTTAAACGGTTGATTCATTCAAGAACGAAACACAGTCATGTTGCTCGGAGACACAAAACAGCACTGTGGCTGTATTCGGAATGATATTTGTTGGCGAAATTGAGCAAAAACAAGCAATATGGTCTCTAAAACGTAAGTCTCTTAATTAACTTATTGTTTATTGAATTCAATGTCACATTTGTAATCATGGTAATCTACAAAGTAGCTAAATTGGCAACACTGAGTGCAAGTTTATGAAAACGCCACCGTTATCATTTCAGTGTAAACACCCAAAACAAGAATCTTTGAAAACTGTGAAGTCATGCGCGTGCGCAGTACGTGTTAGGTATGTAGACATGTGCAGTACGTGTCGATTTAAAGGCAAGCGCGAACAAACATACACAACAATGGCGGAGTACATGGTACTGTTGTTGCTGCTCAAGAACTGGTAGCTAAATGTCACTAATGACATCATAATGGCAAATTCACTGATCTATATAAAGATGAATGTTGATCAGTGGGCAAGATGAGAACTTAGATAAGGTCTGTCCAAGAAGTTGCAATATTTGTCCCTAAGCTTTTGAAAAAGTCTCAAAAGGGGCGAAGTCGCTAAATCTAGCTACAAAGTAGCTAAATTGGCAACACTGAGTGCAAGTTTATGAAAACGCCACCGTTATCATTTCAGTGTAAACACCCAAAACAAGAATCTTTGAAAACTGTGAAGTCATGCGCGTGCGCAGTACGTGTTAGGTATGTAGACATGTGCAGTACGTGTCGATTTAAAGGCAAGCGCGAACAAACATACACAACAATGGCGGAGTACATGGTACTGTTGTTGCTGCTCAAGGTTAAAACAACAATTACGATATTATCGCAGACGATATATATCGCACACCCCTACCTGGCATACATAATACAGTGTTTTTGGCCGTTTTCGGGAGTTATGTGTTAACGCGAATCGTTTTAAAAACTTTGTTGTGTATATGTGAAACTTTTTAAAAAACGCAAGGGAAAAACTTTTCAGTTTTTGACTACATCGTTGTCGTGTAAACGTAGCCTAAAACTTCCACCATTTGACATATATTGAGTTTTGGTTAAAATTAAGAAATGGTTTACATAAAAACTTCCACCACTGGACAGACGTTGAGTTTTGGTTGGAAATGAAAATCTAGTTGACGTAAAAACCCAACGTTGTATTTATATGATGTTATATATCTAATGATGTAATAATTTAACATTGAACGATAATGTTATGATGTTTAGCAGACATTTGGTTATGGTCTGATAAGTAATCAGACTTGTGCTTTTTTTTAGGGTTTTTTTTACCCAGTGGATGGTAAAGTGGGTGAAAAAGGAGCATAGGCCTGGGCGATAAAACGGTATCGATATTTATCGACGGTACACCTTCTTCAATATCGATAGAAAAATTGTTAGATATAGCGCACAATATAGGCACGTGCTATGAGTGACGCAGACAGCACACACAATCACGAACACATGCTGAAATGAGTGCTGTGCCTGCCTGTGGTGAGGAGATTGTGAATAAAGAATGAATATTAGTCGAATTTAAAATAAACATTTGCATTTGAATGCAAAAATAGAACAATCAAAGGTTAGGAGTGCGTCAGGGAGTGTCCTCAGTAATGTTTTGTTAGTCTAGCTAGCCTACGAGACGCGCCGCTGCTGTGTTATGCATTCAAAATATTTGAGAAATATAGAAGCTCAATGCGGAGAAGATCTTGAATGGGTTAAAACCGAAACCAAGCCATTCACACAGAACGCATATTCAGGCTCTTTGGATTAAGCAATGCATAAATACATGATGCTGTTTTGTTCATAATTGTTCATGCAATTTACGAAATTATATTTGATTTTTATGAGTTAATTTAGACGTAATGCACGTTTTTATAGAGTTATATCCTTGCGTTGTCAATTTAAATGTGCTGCATTATTTTGCTCATTGCGCCCTCCTGTGGTCTCGGGAGACAATTAGTCCTATACAATAAAGACCTATTTAATCTGCATATAAAACATTAGAAATTAAAACATTAGAAAAAAAAAAAAAATCTATTGCTTTTTGTTTTAAAAAAGGTAAAAAAAGTCAATAATTATCGATACCGAACAATATGAAACATTATATCGTTGATACATTTTTTGCTATATCGCCCAGCCCTAAAGGAGCACTTGTTTTTGAAGGAGTCATATTTATTATATATATATTTTTATTTTTTTTTGTGCCAAAAACTAGACACTTTAGTTTTTCGTGACCGTTTTCTACCCTCTCTATGATCTTTATTTGATAAAAAATGTTTTGCTGTCGTTGCTTCTTTAAGAAACAACCTGTTCGTGAATGTTGAAAAGTGAATGAATGAAAAGTTTTAGCAATTTAGTGTCAATAAATGCTGTTTTTTGGACTGGGAAGAAAGTTTTGAACTCCGAAAGTTCTTGTATGTGTTCATAGCACACACATTAAGTTCTGTTATATCTCAAAAGACACAAATCTCTTTAAATGTGTTGTGTAAAAATTCACTTCACTTCAGTCTTTCTGCTTTTTTCCTCACCTTTGCTGATTATCTCAAAAGGTCAGTTTGCAAAGGTTTTGCTCTCAAGACTTGCTATTCCCAAGACATGTCCCACTCCTGATTTGGGAAAAAACGGTACAGTGAAAGAGCAGAAGTCTGATTACATGCCGGGACAGTTCATATCTGTCACCTGCAATGAAGGATTCGTCGGATCTGGAGTTTTCACGTGTCACGCACACTCAAAATGGCACCCAAAGGAGCCACTGTGTCAGTGTAAGTACAGATGATGCTTTCTGAATCATTGCATCACACAAAAGCTGATAATCTTCAATATTTTGAATATCGAGTCATTTTATTATAACATTAACGCCTTCAAAATTTGATCCTGATAAAGAAGAACATGTTCCTAAACAAATTCATGAACCCTCCAAATTTGAACTTTAAAACCTTGAATGTCACATAAAGACTCATGCTTAGGATAAAAATGTCTGCACGCATACATAAAATTGCTAATTGTGTTTTAAAGCAATAAGAATCATTTGTACCCTTGTTCATGTTCAGTGATCACCTGTTCAGCACCTGCTGTGGCAAATGGAAGGATAAAACCAGGATCTAGGGTGTACAAACCCAAAGACACTGTGGATGTGATTTGTAATGAGGGATTTGATCTGATTGGCTCACCAGTGGTCACATGTGGACCAGACGGCCAATGGCAGGCCTTGCTTGAGTGTCGCCCTAAAAGGATTTCAGCTACTGGTGGGTGCATTACATGGGTATATATTAGGGATGTAACGATTAACCGCGAGTCGGTTGAAAATCGATTCAAATATGTGACGATTCAAAT